CCCTGACTTAGATCAGCCCAGAGGTTGTTTCAGGGTTTGATCTGTGAGTTAGCCATGCCCTGACTTAGATCAGCCCAGAGGTTGTTTCAGGGGAACAATAAAATTTACAGTCAAACCAGCTCAAGCGTGAACAGGTAGAGGTCATAAATGACTTTATGTTTGGATTCTTGATTTGATTTATCAATTCAAACATTATTTTTTGAATATTAAAGATTCGTTTTCAATAATAAATTTTATTATTGAAAACGAATCTTTAATATTCAAAAAATAATAGTTTGAAAATTTGAATAACTTGGCTTGTAGGCTCTTGTTTATAGCGCAAACAGAAGCTAAGTCATAAATGATATTACATATTCCTTGCACATTCCTGCTCTTACATTTCAGCTGCATATATGCTTGGCTTTTGCATATGCTAGGCTTTGAAGGGTTGCAGAGCAGGCTGAGCTGACCGATCAATTAATATGAGGAATAGCAAATTTCCAATGCTCAACCTCAAGTCTCAAGCCTCCAACATATAAGAACATGTATTGAATAGATAGTACAAGGTTTTGTAAGATTGCAAGACTAAAAGGTAGGATATACTGTATTTGTCTGAGTAACTTTTAGTGAGACCTTAGGTAAGTTTGTGGAGGGTCATATTCCTGTCTTGGCGGTATTATTGATTTGTTCAACTGCTTTTTTTTCATTAATGAATATTTTGCTAATAGAATAAAAGACAGTCTATCTAAAAAAAAATTGTTAATAGCAGTATCGTGAATGCACTAACCTTTTTGTGAAAGATGGGCTTCGTCTGGCCACCGTACCCTGATTGTTTACGATCATAACGGCGCTTTCCTACAATGATAAAAGCCATAAATATAATCCATAGATGTAAGAGAATAAATACGGAGTACTATACTGAATTACCTTGAGCGAAAAGACTAGCTTTGCCAGTTTTGTACTGGGTAACCTTATGCAATGTGTGTCTTTGGCATTTGGAGCCCTTGCAATAGGTTCGTCTTTGCTTCGGTACGTTCACCTAATAATCACAAAGCTTCCACATTAGGGTAGAATAATGACTATTTTATTCATATGGATGGAGATTTTAATGATTAGAATGACGATGATTGAGGATTTTGGTGGATTATTTCTATATTTCTCTCACCATTTTGTTCTTCTTAGAGTAGCGAAGGGAAGAGATCGAAGATCTAGTACCCAGATCTCTTGTCATCACGGCCAGGACCAGATCGAGGCAAGTCTGTTTCCACGTGTTTTTTTAATTTTATTTTATTTTATTTTTTCTTTAAGTTTTTGTTTTGTTTTATTTTTTCGGTTTAATTTTTTTATTATTTGCAATCGCATATGGACAATCAAAGTTTTTCTGTCACATTCGCTTCGTGATAAAAGGATGGATTTTTGCATTCATCATCAGCAAGTCTCTTGCAGCAGGAAGATCAGAGATATTTTCATCAACTTACCTAAGGAATGAAAGAAATACATGAGAAGGAGATTAAATAAAAGGCGAAAAAAGCCAAAGTTGCGGGAAATATCTTTGAATACCTCACAATTGAACGTTACGTCATCGCGTTTTTCTCATGCCTCACCCCGGGCCTCCTCGGTCCCTGGCACTGGCAATGATACGTGCATGCAAAGTCAGGACGCAAAGTAGCAGAGCAAAATCCTGGACAATGACCCAGAAATTAAACACGGAGCCAATGCGTTTTTTTGATACGATCTTTATCGGTGGTGTTGAAAAGAAAAAAAACAACAGAAAATTGTCAATCAAGTCCACTTCCTGTTTTGTTCCGGGGGGGAGGAGGGGAGGGGGCAAATTTGGTGAAGTTGAAAATTAAGACTAAAGAATAAGAAGGTAATACCTAAAAAGGACGTTACGTGATGACTTTTTAGGTAACATTCAACCCCTTGAAATCGTTCTGTATTCGCTACTAAAACGAATGATTCATGACATGAGTTTGAGATGGCCACTTTGTCTTCTTATCGACATTATAATAATTTTGTTTGGGGTTGGTTGAACACTTTTGAGTTTGAATTTATTGATTGAGTTTATGAGAATGAGTTTTGGGGTGAATCACCCATGTCCTGGATGTGGAAACATTCAAAACATCAAACAACTCATGGCATATGGGTTATTCTCTTTCCAAAGGTCTACATGGGGGATTTCATTTGATTTCATGTCTGCTCGGCAGGGACGACCTCATGACATGGATGCCTCTATGTTTCTAATGTCATTATGACCCATCAACTGACATTTGGATAGAACTTGCCCCCGGGGGGTACTCCGCCAGAATTTGGGTAGGGGTGTTCCGCTGGGATTCTGAAAGGGGTACCCTGTATATGACAAAAAACCCAAATTTGTAGACCCTGTTTGTCGACAAAAGATATAATTAATTGCACTGAGTTCCTGTTTCAATTATCATGTCATCTCGCGTATCGTTTTTTTACGACCATGATAACCAGTTTCGGTCAATACGAAAGTAGAAACCCTGAATATGACAGGAAACTCATGAAGAACTTGGGACTCGAGTGAAATTGCATACCCTGTTTATGACAAGAAGCTCGAAAAACCATACCCTGTTCAGCGGATCATCCCCGTATAGTCCATATATGGGAGTAACCCCCCCCCCCCCCCCCGGGCACTTGCCATTTTGTCGAGGGAAAAACGAAGGCATTTTTATACTGGACTGCCACAGGTATCCCAATAATATCTTTATTCCAAACGCAAAACTATAAGGTGTGATGAAGCCTGCGATAGTAAAATATAAGCATGCCTGCCATTGCAAAATAAGAATGTAAAACTAATTAGCTCACTGCTTTTGTATTTCTTGTATCTATGTAGAATATAAAATTGGAAGAGAAAAAGATCCCCAAGGCACGAAATTAATTTTTAAACCCACTAGCAAAACCAAGCTAGTAAGTTTTGTTCTCATTTCCAAAAATTGAAAGTCACTAGCGATCGGACGCAGTGAATAACAATCTTTACTTGATGCGGGTTCTAAAATTTTCAGTCCTTCAATTTCTGGACTGTGTCATATTTGCAAAACTCAGGCCCCGTCCACACGTATCCGCAAATTTTTGTATCCGCAATTTTTTCTTTGCAGATACGGGTTGCGTCCACGCGTGTCTGCAAATTTTTGTGTCCGTATCCGCAAATTTTACGAGAACGGATACGTGTGGACGGTGAAAACGATTCGAATACGTTGCGTGTGGATGGACGCAAACATTTTCGTATCCGCAAAAAATAATTTGCTGATACAAAAATTTCCGGATACGTGTGGACGGGGCCTCAGCTAGTTAAATTTTTTGCCACTCGCTAAATACAAAATTTCACCCGCATTTTGCGAGTTTGCGAGCGTTAATTTCGTGCCCTTACCCCATATTATTTTTCATGATTGGTGCAAGCTGTAAAAAATTATGATAGTTTCAGAGAACATCAATGCTTCTCCAAGAAAAAGAAACCTTAAAGGGGCACTTGGATGAAAATGCATAAAAATTGGAAATGACTATAAACTTAGTTAAACGTATCTATATGGTCCCAATAGTAGCCAAGCAACATACTTTCTTAACAGTAAAATGTAGCGGATAAGAATTATCAGTTTTGTTCAGCATCTAAATTTGGAGTAAATGACGTCATTACTCAACCCTATTGTTCTTTCTGCTTTTGAACCAAAATATCTCAATAGCAAGTGGCTCCCAGGCTAAAATGTTCACTAATCTGGTTTACATAATCATAATTGAGTCATATTATCCTCAAATACTTCAATCATTCGGACTTTCAAAAATTGGGGCGTTTTCATCCAAGTGCCACTCTAATGTTAGATTCCTCTACCCTACTTTAAGATATATAGGGAATAAAGATAAATAAAGATTACACATCCCGCCTCCATACCCCTCAGAAATTCTAAGGTGTGACTGAACTGAACCACGATAAGATCCTCTGGACCCACCACTCGGAAATCTCAATCCTTTCCTTTGGAGGTAGTATGGATATTTTATTGATCTGCTTTAAAGATCATTTTTACCTTAGGCAAGGTACGAGCGGATATGACGTATAGACCCCTTGTATGTGACGTCAAAGCGGCTCAATTTGGAGGACAAAACAAAATAATCTTAATCTAATGAGAATTGAAAACCTATTGTTATGTCCTCCTAATTGAGCTGCATTCCAACGTGCTGCAAGGGGTCTATATATATCCTGATTCAATTCATTGGACGAAGACTAGTGATGCCGCGCAATGCTGTCAAATAGACCTCTTTATCTTGGACGTAATGTCTTCCCATTTCAGACCTTGTGTCATTCCCTAGAGTATCATTTCTTTGTTTAAGTTGAATCCATATTCATGTGTCTTCTCATGAACGACCGTTGAACAAACAAATGATACTACAGTGAATGACATGTAGCCTAAAATGGGAAAATTCGTTGCATTCAAGAAATTAAAGAGGTCTTACTATAAGTGAGAATGAAGACATAAGATTCTAGAACAGCTATGTAGGCCTCTCCTATTCTGTAGCCTGCTGTTTGTCTAATGGTACATTAACCAGAGCGATATGTGCACTAATGTACATAGGATAAGCCACGTGTTTATCAACTTGTAGTATCCGCACTTCCTCATCCAAACCCAAGGCCAGGTGTTTAAGCCCCGAAGTCTTGTGATACTTTTCACTTCCATTAGAATGAAATGAAGCAATGTCAACCTTAACCATGAAAGAGTGTTGCCGCTGAACACAAATGATGCCATGTGTAGGGTGTATGTATGTATTACGTCGTAAGCTTAGCTGCCGAGTTCTGTTATTGTACATTACTATTATGTCGAGACCATATAGAAAGCCAGTCCATCGCCAACAGTACTGCAGTGAGGAGAACAAAAAAGTATTAATAATAATAATTATTATTATAATTATTAAAGTATTTTTTTATTGACAAGGGTTTCATGACGTAAATATACATAAAGCTCCTCATTGGTAGAAACAGTAGGAATCCTACAGACCTCACGCTGTGAATTACTACAAGCCATACCGGCAGGATAACCACTCATTATTATAAATTCACTTCAAAACGTTGTGTTGAAATAAGTCATCGAGTTCGTTATGTGAAACGAATGCATGCATGGAGTTTTAAGTGGTGTTACACGGGACAACTTGCAACGCCGATTTTTCGTGCAACTCTATTGTGCCATTTGTGTGTCGATTTTTTGCGACATGTTAAACGGGAACAACTTTTCGCGCAACATTTACTTTAGTATTCAGTCCACGCGCTGCCAACTCACTCACGGCTATCTTTTTTCTTCTTTTCTTGCTTTTATCATTTTTTATCAACTCCAAAAGTTTCATCTTATCTGTTTCATTAGGTTTAGACAATCGTTGCAGTTGCTGTACTGTTTAAACTTACTTCTTCTACAGTCGGCGCCATTTTGTTGCGCGTCAAATCGGCGATGGACATGTTACACACATCGATTTGCTGAAAATTCGTCATCTTGCGTTGCAAGTTTTTGAAGCCAGATCAAAAACTTGCAGCGTGTTGCAGAGTGAAATATTGCGCGAAAAATCGTCCTCGGCGCTATGTTACATGGCAACGATTTTTCGTGCAACAGCGTTGCGCGAAAAATCGGCGTTGCAAGTTGGCCCGTGTAACACCACCTTAAAATGGTGCAATGACATTCTCAAATGTAACTAAAACTTAAACGAAAAATATAAAACATGCTACAGAAACATGAAATATTTTACTCAGTGTAAAATTCATTGAAAGAAACTAAAATTCAAACCATGATCTTTAGCAAGGAATGAGGCGCCATATACTACAACGTTTATTTTCATCGTCTCTTACTATACTTATATACTGTACTTAGGCCTAGGGCAAACGTCGAACTTTCCATGCACCGAACTCATTAAAAACAATGGATGGTGATAATGAGGCGGCATTCTTTGATGTAATTAAGTTCGGTGCATGGAGAGTTTGACGTTTGCCCTAGGCCTTAGAGATGGACCATTACTAATTATTGAGGGGAGTTGCAGAAATCTATGTTACACGATATTTATTTTTTTGTAACAAACATTGCATGCAATTGTTGTTTTTTTTTTGTATTTCCTCGATATTTCTTTACTGAAAGGAGAGTTGCACAATATTTTATTGTAGGTGAAGTGCTTTCTCAATATTTTTTTTGGATCGGGGGAGGGGGGGGGTGCATAAATCCCCCACCCTCCCCCTCAATAATTATCTAATGGTCCGTCCCTTACACAACTTACCTTCATACTCTTTTCAAGTATTCGACCATATCGATGAGCAGACAAGTTAAAGTGTTCTAAGGTCATATCCTCAGGTGGACCATGATCTAAGTTTTGGTAAACAAATAACATTTTTCTCCACTGCTCCTTGTACACTGGACTGAACCAACCTGAATGGATTAAAATATTAGTCAGAGAAAAAGTATGACTCGCAAAAGCATAGTGGAAAAAAATGTTGAGATGTTCAATCTGAAGATAATGAAAATAGTTGTGCAGATGATGGTAGCCTGCAAAGCAGTCGTTCTTGTGGGTTTAGGGGAAAACCAGGGTTTTTGGGGGTAACTTTGGAAATTGCCTCACAAGAACACCTGCTCTGCATTCTATATGCAGGGTGATGGCGGTGATGCTGGTGATTGTGGTGATAATAAATGATGGTGGCAAGAGAAAATGAACTAAGAGAAGGAATACAGGGTAGAGTGTGCACAATAAGTGCGTGCAGAAAATAATACGATCAAATAAATGATTCTAAAAATAGCATCAAATATTCTAAAAATAGCATCAAAAAGTGCTCATGATGGGGCATGGGGTTCCCTTCTCTTAGTTCATTTTTTTCTTGTTCGTGGTGATTATGACAATGTTAGTGTATTGATGGTGGTAATTGTGATGATGATAAAATTGTGGTGTTGATCATAATACCACTAAGATGACTAATTAACTAATTTTAATTTTCTATGTATTGCTTATTAACTATAACTATTAACTATATTTAAAAATATAGTTAATAGTTATAGTTAATAAGCAATACATAGAAAAATCATGATGGTGGCAATGATGGTAACATATTATTTCATCATTATTTCATTTATAGAAAGAACAGGTGGCATAGCGGTGAGAGAGCTTGCCTCTCACCAATGAATCCTGGGTTAGAGTCCAGCCATGCTCGGTGTTGTATGTGAGTAGAGTTGCTTGTTGGTTCTCTTCTGTGCTTTGAGGGTTTTCTGGTAAATTCCTCCTTCCGTAAAATCCGTAAATCAATTTCTAAATTCCAATTGGACTCAGTGGAAGAAGAGCCACTCTGTGGAATCCACTGTTAATATTATTATCATTATCATTATCATCATCATCATCATTATTATCTGTTGTGTTGATAATTCTTTATAACAGGGCAAGTGTGACTAGGTTTTAAGTAAAACTAACCAGTTGGAATAATATTATCTGACTGCAACATTATCATCGACCTGATGTCATTCACAACATGGATAAGCCTAAGACCTTTGAAAGCTGGAGCAAACACTATCCCCTCATGACTCTCAAGAAATGCCTGGCTGTTTTCTTGACTTTTAGACCTAAAATAGTCGGTTGATTGTACCCTGAGATCCTTGTTGGTCCCCTGCCATAATGGGTGTAGCTTCAAATACATCCATATCACCAGCAATGTGTAGACATCAATTTCAATCTGCATTACGAACAGTCCAGGGGACTTTATTACTTGCTCCATTAATTCAGTGCTAGAAAAAATAAAATAAAAACATTATAGAACGAAATGGATAGACTGAGAGTGGGTGAGAGAGGATGACAAAATGAAAGAAGTGAAGAATACTTGCTCCATTAATTAAGTGCTTGAAAAAATAAAATAAAAATACTATAAAATGAAATGGATGGTCTGAGAGTGGGTGAGAGAGGATGACGAAATAAAAGAAGTGAAGAATACT